GGGGGGGGGCTCGGCTTGGCGCAACATGTCACAATATTATTATATTGTTATTTTATTATCATTAAACAGAAATCGACTCGTGAATTTATCAACAATTAATGAACTTTGATTCACTGTAGAGTGCAGAAAATACTCGTACACTTCTATTACTATTAAAGTAAATAAAGTAATTCTTTCTACTCATACCTTCAGTGTGATACTTGCGCCTGTGTTGCTGCACACAGGCGACTGATCCGTGATGGAATCGTTGACAGCGCAAGTCTCATTTCTTCATCGATGGATTTGAGCCACTCCGTCTTTGATGTCTTAATTTCAGTTAACGTCGAGAAGCCCAGTTCACACAAATACAATGGGGTACCCAAAAGAAACCGAATTAATTTTTTTGTGGGCAGAGCTTTTGTATTACCGCGTTTTGCTGCTATGAGCGCATAGAGCTAACATTCCTGAGTCGATAAGCCAACTACCGTTGCTTCAGAAGGTAAGGACTAGTTTCAGCAGAGTTTATAGTGACAACTGTTTTGTGTGATCATCGTTTTTGCAATGGCTGATTTTCGTGAACAGCGTGCGGCGGTGAAATTCTGCTTTTTTGCTCGGGAAAAGTGGAACAGAAACTCTTGAAATGTTAAAAACAGCGTACAAGGACGATGCTATGGGGAAAACTCAAGTGTTTGAGTGGTTTTCCCTTTTCAAAAATGGTGAAATGTCAATTGATGACAAACCTCGTTCTGGTCGTCCTTCCACGGCCCAAACACATGAAAATGTTGAAAAAATTCGTGAAATCATCAAGGAAGATCGGCGACGGACCATTGAAGAAATTGTGGAGCTGTCGGGAGTGACTTGGAGCTCAGTTCAGCGAATTTTGACAGAAGATTTGGGAATGAAAAGGGTGGCTGCAAAATTCGTGCCAAGACTGCTGACTGCTGAACAAAAAGGTCGCGTGGAAGCATGCTGTGCTTTGAAAGAAGAGTCCCGAAATGATCAAAACTTTTTTTTTTGTTTCCTCGAATGAAAAGAGACATGAAAGGAAAGCGTTTTGCTGATGTTGCTGAGGTGAAGGAAAAAATGATTGAGGCGCTGTCAAGCATCTCAAAAGATGAATTTAGACAATGTTTTGAAAAATGGAATAAAAGACTAGACGAGTGTGTTAGTGTAAGTGGAGAGTACTTTGAAGTGGATTGAAGGTTTGTGCTTAAAATTTGAATAAATAATTTAAAAAAAAAATAAGTTCGGTTTCTTTTGGGCACCCCCTCGTATGTAGTTGAAAATGGCAATAACATTTTGAATTGTTTCATTTTTGGTCCGTTACACTATCAATCACAAAGTCAATAGAAAATCCGTCGAGTGTACCTACAAAATTGTTACACTCGACGGATTTTCTATTGACTTTGTGGCAATAACACATTAACTGCCATCTTGTAGATAGCCGGGTATCCACTCCTTATTGCCAACCAAAACATATGCAAAGGCACTTCGAGAAATTTTAATTTCAATGTTCTGTCTGCTTTGAAATCTGGGATTTCCTCTTGTATATTAATCGGAAGATGTTTTGAATTCATGATCGAAATCTTTTACACTCTCTCCAAAATACTTATTGAATTTCTGCTGCCGAATTTCTAAATTTTCTTTAATTGTGTCCATCACATCACTTGCCATCAGCAAGTGGCCATACAGTCGGGACATCTCAAACGACCCATCTGTAATTCTTTAACTAGCAACCAGAATTTGCGAACTACTTCAGAGCACAGCTGTTATAGAACTGAAACAATTGTAAAACGCGGGATCTCTACTCTTCACGCGGAAGAAGTGACATTATACCGACTTATTTTTGAAACATTTATAATTTTAAATGAAGTCCAACAATCGGCGGGTGCGTCGTTACAGGAAGAAAATCATAAAGTTGAAGAAGAAGCTCTAACTTCTAACAAACGGGCAAATAGCAAAACAGCGTTATAAAAGACAGGAAAACCCTTGCTAATCCCTGCAGGTTTAGGGAAAAGCACGTACACAGAACATGCGGCAAGCATATCAAAGAAGCTGCGTAGATGTAAGAAAAATAAAAATAAATCAGTAAAGAAAACTATGATATAACAACAAATGTGAGTAAATAATTTACGTTTAATTTCTTAGAATACAACATTACTGTACACAAAAATCACGGCGTGTAATAAAGAATAAACGAGCATCATCTTATTTAATCAGTGCAGTGGCTGAGAATAAAATGCAAACATATGAAACACGGTAACTGGGATAAAAAAAAAATAAAATTTGACAATTAATTTCTTACAACAGGTAAAAGTTGGCGTCACACCTTTCACCTTGTGACGGCACACCAGTTGCGGAACACTGATCTAGACAATTGGCTCAAAGATGGCCGTAAGGTTGTCAGCCTTACGCGCCGGCTGCGCTTTACTCCCCAGGAAAATTATTTAATTAATTCCTGGTACTCATTTGTGTTAGAGGCTGAGTGAACCCCGGGGCCTAGTGTGCCTGGAAGGATTAGGTCAACTGAAAAAAATCCACTGACCTCATCGGGATTTGAACTCGCGACCTTCCGGCTTCTAGCATAGCACCTCAACCACTACGCTAACGCGTGCTCAGATATTACATGATGCATTCTTTAATAATTTTTAGAAAGCTTCCTTAAAATGCAATGGAGGATCTTTCTGATGACACTGTTTCATAAATTAGAGAAGCGCAGTTGGCTGGATTACCGGAAGTTTACATGAATTTCAGTTTTAAATGCACTCTACTTGTAATATATACAGGGGGTATCACAACTCTACAGCAAAACTTCAGGAATGGACTCCTCATGTATTCATTCATTCAGTAATCTGTCAAGACTACAGGTCCACAGTCTCTTCCAAAACAGTTCCTCCACTTGATGCGATCTAGAGCTTTCTCCTTCAAATGAACATGGGTCCAGAAATGCATATAATTACAGAATAATAATTGTGCCTGCATGCCACTGAAAAGAATTGACGACATGAGTGCTTCCTATCCGTGGGTCGGCGTTTCACTGGGAGGACAGCTCTATGATTATCATGATGTCACCTGTGATTACTTCGTGATAAATTTTTCTCTGCCAATTCTTTTCATTAGCATGCAGACACAATTACTACTCTGTAACTATATGCATTTCCAGACCCATATTGTCATTTTCTTCTCTCTATATGAGGAGTCCATTCCTGAAGTTTTGCTATTGAGTTGTGATACACCCTGTAAGTATGTTCTTGATCATCTGTGCTAAGAAAGGGAGAATGAAGCAGAAAGGATTTATGGAACATAAAACCAGAATTATATTAGCATAGTTTAGAGAAGGATAGGAGAGAATTCCTTCAGCAAATCCCATATTCAGGAGGTCCAGTGCTGAATTTGTGGCAGAGACGAACTATCCAAATGGGTTTTTTCATGACTGCTGCAGATAAATGGATCATCCATGTTTTCAGGAGGGAGATACAGGCCAGGACAAAAAGCCCTGGGGGGATAAAACTAGCACAAATGGTGGTAAGTTTGGTGCCAGTGGTGGAGGAGGTAATGGATCTGGCTCGGAGTCTCCAAAGCCATCCCGGAAACGGTTTGGCTCTGCTAGCGAGGAGCAGCTGCCAAAACTGAATGGTCTGCCAGATGGTACTACCACCTGTGTTACAGACTTTGACTCGCTCAAGCAAGAGATTCTCAAGGAGATGAAGAAAGAAATGGCTAAGTTGAAGCAGGACATCATTGATGGTAAGTAAAATGTAATTATAGAACAAATTTAAAAGTGGGAAATGTGGTTATGGTATAACCGCATGGCATAAAATCTGCAGCACAACAAGGTTAGTAAGTCATATTGTACTTGGTATTACTGGGTTTCTAGGCTTTGTTCATCGTCTAGTATTCTGAACAGAACCCAGAAATTAAGAAACTGGATCTGTTTTGATCCTCAGCTGAAGAGGTGGGGAGGCACCTACTCATTTGGATCCATTGGAAGGAGCTAATCCTGATTTGTAGCCTAACTGATGGGCTCAGCGAAAAACCAGGCAGACGCACCATAACTTCGACTTTTTGGCCATTTTCATCCTCAGTCATATTTTCATTTAAGTTGGGAGGTGCAGAGTTAATTGAAGACATCTCCTTTCCAGAATGTTTGAGTTTCATAACCATCAGGACAGACTTTGTTGGTGTACATGTTCCAGCCTTGTTTGGCTTAGAAGCTGTCTAACTCCATGGAGCTTAGCCCTTACTCCAATTGTGTCAGAAAGCAAGCTTTCATGCCCATACAAAACCACAGACAAAATAATATTTTTTTTGGGGGGGGGGGCTTAGAAATGCTAATTTCATTTTATTCTTTGAATATTTCCGTCTCCTAAAGTAAGCTATTGCCTTGGTACCAAACTTGACTTGTGGCCATTTTGAAGAAGCAGGGATCAAAAACCCTAAGTTTATGATATTTTTTATGTAGTCATGGCAATATGGTCCGTTATACTACATTACCAAGGCCATGCCATTTACTAGGACATAAAGTGTTAACTGATATGTGGTGATAGCAGGGTGCAGCTGTAGGTTGGATGATCAGGGCTTAATTCCTGGCAGGAATATTCATTTTTACTACCACATCATGACTGAGTCTCCTCTCCACTTGCTACCAGGGGTTATTTTCCCATCAGAAGAACAATCAGACCGATGCAGTCTTGCCTTCAAATAGTGCTGAAGTCCAGAATGCCTGTACCTGTACCCTCATATGTTTTTCTGGCAGGACAGTGGGACATACGTACAACTTCTTGCTTAAGGATTAAGATCTGTTTCTTTTCTAAAGAATGCTTTCGTGTTCACAGCTGTCAGGATGGAGTTTGCCAGAAGATAATCCTCAACATGCTGAGTTCCTATGATGGAAATGATTGCTCTCTGTCATTTGACATGGACTTCATGAATGGATCACTTCAGCTGTTTACTGCTGCAGGAAGAACCAGCATTCCCATTGCATGCTATGTTTTGTTTTCTGTTGTATTACTGTAACTCATTTGGTTATGCCCACCTCTTTGTTAAGGGCACATGAAAGACAAATTTAATTTAGTGTTCATGTTAGCAGAGTGAAGGTATAGATGATCAGAACTTTAAATTAGATAAAAATGTCTGGGAAGCCAGCAGAGTGTTTGTGCTCATTTTATGATTAGGACGAACACTGTTGTATCTCCATTGTGTAATCATTTGGAAGTTTAGTCAGAATTGGCTGGGCAAAATTTGTGGTCTCATCACAAAACCTAATCACAATAGATATGATACTCCTGCTTTTAGAGGTTTTGATTATGTGTACCTATTGCAGATTGGTGTGGTTGTGATAAGACATGGAAGCTAGAATTTTGAATGCAAGGTTCTGTTTATAACACAGTGCAAGAATTTGTTAATTGAACAGAAATACATCTGTTATTGATGGGCATTAATGTGTAATCCAGATGGCAGTGATTCACAGGAGGTTTGTAACTGGTTGATTCATTAATCACAGTTTTTGCTGTACATTGTGTATTTTCTGTAGTATGTATGACACACAATATTTTGAGAGTTGATTGTATTCCTGTCCTCAGGTGATTGGTTGTCATAACACTGACACATTTGTGTTTTTGTGCTTTAATATTACTGGCATTGATTTATATTAAACATGGGACCTTCTGAATGCAAAGCTAGTATTCTAACCACTATGAAAAGTAATAACTAATCTGTTGGTGTAATGACAGCAAGTCACCAGAAGACATGATTGGAGCAAGTTCTAAAACGTGTGTATCAAATATAACCAGGCAAGCAATGGCAGTGTGCAACATAATATTGGTATGACAAATATGGCTTTGTTTCCTGGTTCTGGGTGCTGCATTCAAGTGTAAAATGGATGCAAATGATGTGGAGAGATGTAATACTATTATACTCGGCAAGTGACAGCTGGAACATTTGCAAATGCACAATTACTAATTTTGCACAGATTTTGCTGTTAGGATCTGTTGCGATTGGCTGTTATGTGTAATGGCATGTGAATTGGTTTGTACATGGACATATTCAGTCAAAACATACAGTTGTAAAACAAATGCATTATTATTTAAGTTACAATCAAGTGTCAAAAAATATATAAGATATATTGTAAAACATAGTTCTATTTAATTTTTCTATTGCATGAGTGATTTCTAATATAATTTTAGAATGTATGTAAATATTAAAATCTTTTTACTCTATTTATTACTGTAAACAGAATGCACATTTTTTATATTTATTTTGTTGTGCACAAAGTATGGGTGTGAATTTCTGTTAAAGTGACAATGTTTGTAAAATTTTGGCCAACAGAGAGACTCTCCTGTTCAGTTTTTCTACAGGCATGGGATTGTATATAGAGCTGCTTCTGTTGTTCAGAGGGCTTTGGCTATGTTATTATAATACTTGTAACTGCAAGACAATGAACTAGACACTAGCTGTAGGAAAACATTTGTCTTGATTGTAGTGCTGTTCACCCCAACATTGTATGGGTGGGGATGCCATCTGTGTCATGTACACCGTTGTTGTGATATAATTTGTAGTTTGATTGATTTAACATTTTTTTGTATTATTATATTTATGTAAAGTGGTTGGCATCCCTCCTGCAATTACTAAAGTGTGACTTCCCCATCATCTAAATACATCGAACCTCTCTTCTCCCTTCTCTGTCCCCCCTTCCAGAAAATATATCTTAATGTGAGTACATACTGAGTTTCCACAGGAAAACAGTTCTGAATTTTCTTAACCAGTTTTAATTTTAGAATCAACCAGGCCTATTTCTTCACTTGTGAAGGTTCTTGCCTGCCTGGCAAGCAGAAACTTAGATCTGTTAAGATGTATTCTTTCAAAGACTGCCACATTCATGAATGTAAAATGCAACAGTTTTTTAGAATATGACGAGAAGTTGAAAGTGTAATCAAATGACACACATTGTTAAGCACTCATTCATTCCTTAATATTTATAGTTGAACGTGAATTAGGTGAATTGCAGTATTTATTTCCATTTAGTTGACATTTGTACTTTGCTGGCCTTGAAATCTGCTCAAGATTATGTAATTGGGATACTGCTTCTTAAATAATTTGGGCTTCATATCATAATATGTGTATGATATATAGACAGTGTATGTATTGTAAACCCATAGGGATGTAAGTTGCTGATATGTTCAAGGAAAGGAGGTTTTAATGTAAATGATATTATTTTAACCTTTACATAGATATACAAAAAGAAGGTTTCTGTAAGTTATGTGATCTCACAATCCCAAATATATAACATTATATATTGTGTCATTCAAAATATTATGTACAGGAAAAGTGGTGATTAGATCCTAAAATCTAGGAAGCCAACCCTCATGTGTAATATGTAGCATGTAGTTTTCCAATATTATATTGAAAATATAGATGTATATTTAATAGTTCTTAATTGAGTATTGTATATGCCATACATTTTGTCTTTTTGCATTGTATTTTGAATAAACTTCTGAAATGCTTTGTTTTCTTTTTAATAATTTAATTACTGGTGTAGTCACTTATTTTATGCACTTTTTATTGGTTAGAAGGAAACATGCACTGTGGTAAGTAGTCATGAATATATGAGTATGCACTTTTTATTGGTTAGAAGGAAACATGCACTGTGGTAAGTAGTCATGAATATATGAGTATGCACTTTTTATTGGTTAGAAGGAAACATGCACTGTGGTAAGTAGTCATGAATATATGAGTATGCACTTTTTATTGGTTAGAAGGAAACATGCACTGTGGTAAGTAGTCATGAATATATGAGTATGCACTTTTTATTGGTTAGAAGGAAACATGCACTGTGGTAAGTAGTCATGAATATATGAGTATGCACTTTTTATTGGTTAGAAGGAAACATGCACTGTGGTAAGTAGTCATGAATATATGAGTATGCACTTTTTCCCCTCTGAATACCTTTAAAAAACGCAATGTACGTGTATGTTAATGCATGTTCATTTCTGTGAGGGGCTTACACAGAAGCCTTGTATTAGACCCTTTCCTCAGTTTATTTTAATCTTCACTGTCTCTTTTTCTTAAAATCCAGTGTAACACAGTAATGTCTTCTATGTTTCTTCTTCATTAACTGTAATTATGTGCATATGTATCACCAGTCTCAACCCCCTTGATTTAGTCATAGTAACAATATTAGGAGAACAGTACAAAAATATCTTTCCTGTATTCTCGCAATACTTCATCTTCTTTTCCCCTACAATCCTATAAATGTCCTGTCATGGAAATAATCATGAGGGATTTCAAAAGATTAGCATTCATTTCAGCTCATAAAATTATTATTAGTGTTGTAATTCTATACATGACAAGTCTACATTCACTTAATATAACATCCGTTACTGAAACATCAAATTAACAGAATCAGGAATGATGGTGATTTGATAGAATACAAAAGTATAGAATTTATTTGCAGTCTATAGAGACTTCATAGGCCTAAGCTAAGAATGTTGAACAAGCCATAAAATAAATTTTGTTTCGAACACACAAATACAGCTACATCTCAGATAATATGTCATACCTAAGTAAAAGTGTTCCACCTGATTCATAAAATACAATTTAATCTGATTAACTTAAACTCAATTTACAATCGATTAGCAGCATCCACTGTAATGCAAATTGTGGGCTGGCTGATTGAGAGTTTGGGGGGGGGGTAGTATTGTATGTGGGGAGTCCAACTATTGATGTTCTCATAAATTGAAGGATGTTAGTGAGCTTGGACATGGTTCCTGGTAACTTTCAGTAAGATAATCAGTATTTATGTCATCACAGATGACAAATTAAGGTGCTGTTTTATAAAGATAAATATGTTTTTTAACTTGCCTAGGAAAAGTTACTTGTGGGCTTTGTGATGCTTTCTTGGTGATATGGACAGAAACAGAAATTAACACAAATAACACTGTTTTTGCTTCCATGTTAAAGTATTAGAGATTAGTTTCTTTTAATTTTTAGTGCCTTCAGTGAACACAGAGTAACATTATTGAAAAATATAATTGTTAAGAGTTTGTGACTCTTGGCCTTGATTTGATGAATATATGAATGATGATTCATAGAAACATCATACCGGTTACCTTGTTAAATGCTTACAACTTTTCATTCACAAGGATGCCTGCACAAGGTAGGATGTTCCCTGGGTTCCTGGATTGGTCCAAGAATAAAAATTGTGGAATGAAACCATGTAATGGGATATCATGTTTATTTAAAGTAGAACTGGATGATCTCTTTACTAAAGCCAGAAGGATAGGTAAGAAATGTAGCCTGAAAACTCTTCTTTACAAACAGAACTATAGCAGGGAGAACAAGTATTTCAAATGTTCAAGACAGCTGTGAAAATTACAGAAAGTTGGGATAATGTTTAACAGATGTGGAACCATATTTTGCTGGTAAATGAAGTGACAACGTTTACATGTTTACACAGTTATATTAGCAATACAAGAAAGGATAATGGATGAGATCAGAAGAGAAGAATCCAGTGGCATTCATACACCCTGCAATGATGGGATTCCAAGGCAGTGTAAATTACAAATGTTTAAACCAATGATACATCATGTTGAAACATAAACAATCAAGCAGGTGAACTAAAGTACAAACAATATTACATTTTAAGACGCATCATAAGGAAGATGAAAAGACATATGATTGAGACAAGCAGGAAATTTAAAGATATTACCTAGTTCCCCCCTAACATAGAAGAAGATACTAAAGAACCCTGACACTTATACTAAATCTTACTTAAACATGGAATATCCAGAAAAAAAAACTGGGCTGATGATGCAAAGCCCTGCTGATACAAATGGAATGGCAAAGGGTTCAAGAAGTTAGAGATGAAAGTATAATAGTTTGAAAGGAAGCTGTCTAGAAGAAGCATGGAATTATAAGTGAAAAACAAAAGAACCAATGGATGGATCTAATTTTAAATTAGAGGAAGGTGTAGAAGATCACAAATGTGGAATGACAGTAACAGCCAGTATTGTATACACATTTCTGATGGATGACAGAAGCCCTCCATACTTTGGCCCTTGTCGAATTAAATGGACTTTCTAATAACTTCATGATGGAGATTTGCAGGGATTGTATTCTAGCATTCACTGGCACAGTACTTCATAAGAAGAAAATTATAAGGAATATGCAATATAGTTCACAAAGCATTAAATGAATGTCTAAAACTCCAGTGACAGAGATTGTCATGAGACTTAATTGGTACTTTTCTTTGGATATCTTCATTAAATAGATGTATTATCCAGCAGTTAACTTTCTTTAATTAAAATCACTTCTAGTGATCTTGGGGTTATCTGTGTCTGTGAATTCACTTGCCGGTCTATATTTATTTCCAGGAACTCCAGTTACACAGATGCTGACATTTGAGTTCAGCTATGAAAGAATTCATCTGTAAATGATCATCAACTGTTGATGGAATGCAGAGTATTAAGGTCCTTGTTGTGAACATTTTCATGAGCTGATAGTACTGATAGAATCGAGTCTGAGTTCTAGTAGTTCTCCACCATTAGCGGTTGCAGTAACTAGGCATGTAGGGCTTGGTGCGTGAACAGGAGTTGTGTCTGAGGACAGAAGTGGTTCAGTATCTGACATCTTGCGGTCTCTCTGTTCCTCTTCTAACACCAGCAATGGAGGTAGCACCATTGATGAACATAGGTACAGGAGCCAGTTCTGAGAATGAGAAAAACATTATAAAATACATGGTAAAAAATACAATGAATTATAAACTTATTATACAATGAGAGTTAGGGCATAAAATAAGGTTAAAAGCTTTTCATGTGATATTCTATATCATCAAGTCAGTTGTTGCCATTTGTTATATTCCTGCGGACATAATGGTATATTCTAGACTTGTATACATGTAATAAACTTCTTGGAGGCCCGTGGTATAGATGTAGTGTAGTTCTGACATTAATAGTTTAGCCGGTGCGTCATCTTATAATGTATTTTGTCCGTTCTGTGGGGAATATACTAGATTGCAACTGTATATAATTGTATATAATAACACAACAAGATGCACAAAATGAAAATTATGCAGCTAGAATTTATCTAAGAGTCTTGCATGTAAAAATGTAAGTTATTTTGACTTGCAAAATGAACCATCCAAATATTGTACTGGAGACAGTGGAACTCTACAAATAAATATGTAGCTAGAAAGAAAACTGTAAGTAAATGATCTCTACAATATAGTTTAGAATGTGCCAAAGTCATCATTATTAGCATCTGCTCTCAAATATGTGCCTATGCCATAATTGTGTAAATGATTTATATACAGTGCGTACAATCAAGTGCGCGCCGCGGCTGCAATTTGCCGTGAGTCATACCACCGCAGAACGGATGCAACTCCTCCCCGCGACTGCAGTGCCGTTCCCCGATAGCGTGAGTGTAGTGGTGTCGCTGAGTCTCCGTCCATCAGTTGCTCTACATGCACACATTTATAAGAATACAGTAAAAAGATAACTTACCGTGGTTTATAACAGGTGCTGAAAGTGACCTCCTTCTGCTTGCAAACATGCCGCGCATCTCACAAATAAATTACGCGACACTCTCTGCAGTTCGTCGACGGTAATTGAATGAATTACGCGTGTAATTTCATTTTGAAGACTATCAATGCTGCGGGGATTATTTTTGTAGACTTTTTGCTTCAGGTTGCCCCAAAGATAATAATCAGAAATACTGAGATCTGGGGATCTGGGAGGCCACAGTCCTCTACTGACAATTCTGTCTTCAAACACTTCCTGTATTGCGACCATGGATGCATTAGCCGTATGTGCTGTAGCGTTGTCCTGCTGAAAATACCCGTATTGTCTTTCTTCGGCATTCAACTGATCGAAGAAGGGATTCAGTATGTCATTAATGTACCGATCAGAGTTCACGGTATCGTGGAAAAATATGGGGCCAATGATTCGCCGCGGGCTTACAGCACACCACACACCCACCTTTTCACTATGTAATGGCACTTGCTGTATAGCGTGAGGATTTTCATTGCTCCATATTCTTACGTTTTGTGCATTGACGTGGCCACCAACGTGGAACCACGCTTCATCAGTCATGAATAGAAGCTGAGGATCCACTATTCCATCGTGTACATTTTGCAGCAGCCAGTTGCAAAAACGAATTCTTGCTGCATGATCTGGTTCTTTCAGCTCATGCACAACTGTTACTTTATACGGGCGAAATTTGATTAACTTTGTGGCTGTGCGAGCAGATCCTAGCGAAACACCAGTTTCCTGTGCTAAGCGTCTTAACGATTTTCGAGGACTGATCTGTAATCTTGCCTGAATATCCTTAACCTTTTCTTCAGTCAGCACAGTTCTCTTCGATTGCTTCTTCTTGTCACTCACTGAACCTGTGGCCCGCCACTTTTTCAGAAGCCTGTTTACACACGACTTTGTGGGAACTGGCGAGTCAGGATATTTCTGACGAAACCTACGTGCGAATTTTCTGTAAATGTTTTTCCTTGCAATAGTTTCGACAATAAACACACGCTGTTTAATAGTGAACTTCATTTCCACAGTCTGTCGACAGCTGTAAACATTCCACTCCACTTCCACAGCAAGACAAAGACTGACTGTTTAATGCAACCTCGGGTTCCGATTATGCAACCATCGGCGAGGGAGCACTGCAGTCGCGGGGAGGAGTTGCATCCGTTCTGCGGTTCTGCGGCAAATTGCAGCCGCGGCGCGCACTTGATTGTACGCACTGTATTTTGCTGACTTGAAAATTCTCTACAACTGTTGATTCACAATCACTTAGACTCATGACCAGAAAATGGCTAACATGGCAGGTCTTTTCACAGTCTCCTTCAGTTCCTTCATTCCAATGCTGTGACAGTTTCTTAAAATAGGACATGACCATTTCTCCTCTCCTTCCTCCTGATTTATCTTTGAGCCCTACATAACCTTGAGAGTTAATGAAGAATTTTTAAACAACTGGACAACATTTGGTAATCATACAGAAAAATGTGTTAAATATTTAGAATTTGGAAAGCTATAATAATTTTAAAGAATTCTGTGAGTTTTGTAATCATGTATTACTTCTAAAAGTAATTTTACTTACAAGAAAGGAGTTGGCAGCAGCAAATAACACTGGAAAGATAAGGGTGGAAGGATTCTCAAGTGCCAATACACCAAGGAACCAAACCACTGCAAACAATGGGAGCAGCATGGCAGCCATTCTCAAAGACTTGCGCAGTGCCTCTTCACTAGTGTTGCTTTTTTCTAGCAAGCAGAACTTGTGGTCAACATCACATCGTGACAACAGTCGGAGTCCCAGCACTGACAAAATAGTATTTGCCTTAAAAACAAGCACAATGTCAGATTAATCAATTTGTAATATTGTGTTGTGTAATATAGTCTAGTTCTAACAGATACTGTACAACTAGAGTCTTACAAAGTTCATCATCATCATTTTCTTGGATTAGGCCATGCTTGGTCTATCCTGTCCTCTTGAATAGTATATTATTCCCATCTTAACCTTGAGCATCCTATGTTTCTTCATCTTATTGGGTTGCATGTTAAAACTGTCTGTAATTTGTCTCATGAAGTTAAATTTTAAAAATGTGTAAAGCACACCATATTTGGTATAATTTTTAGTTTTTTTTTTTACATTGAGTAGATTAGAATAGTGGTAATGCTCTGGACATGTTTGACAGTTTGGCAGTTTGAACATACACATAAATATAGAAAATGACAAGAAAAATAACAATTTTGATAATAAATTTTCATGTCCAATATGAAAAGCCAATAATGTAATACAATACATGAAGATTGCTGTCTTCTGGGATGTGATGTTGTGCAGTTTGATACATTGGTACCAACGTTTTGGATGAACCTGCTGCTCCCATCATCATTGTATATTCTCCAGTCTACTTATCTACTACAGTACATAAATCAGAACTCAGAGGACAGAAATATTCAGAGCCACTGCCATGAGAACCCCATATCTCAGGATGATAAATTCTTGGAACTGATGTGTAAGAATGGATGTGTGCATGTGTGTGAAAGAGAGGCATGCATGTGCATATATGCACTGCTGATTTACCAAAGAGTGTAACTTGCATCTGACATTTCTAACAAATGAAGTATTTCTGATTTAGTCAGTAAGAAGCCTCTGATGTCTTGAAGAAGGTACAGTTGTGATTGTTTTATATTCTGAGTCATTTTAAATAATATGTGGGAACATCCCACATTATCGCGTATTTTCTGCAACGCACACTCTTCACATCACTTTTCACCATCACGCGCGCTAACCAATCAAATTGCTCCAAACGTTTGCATTTATACAGCGCTTCCTGCTAGCCCACATCTACATCATTACGCGAGCTAGGCAATCAGCGCTCAGCAAATTTTCGCTCCACCATCACGCGGTGGATAAACAAGGGCAGCTCCAACGCCGCTTCATGATTGATTCAGATTCGACGCGGAGTTATTCGGATTCGGATAGAGGGGGAGTTCGGATAGTGGACGTGGAGTTGAGGAGTTCGATTCGGAGTTAGTGTGCTGTTGTATACGTCAGAGCGGATTGGATTCGATGCGGAATCGGGATCGAGTGGTGGATTCGAGATTGTCTGTTTGACAGGACAGGACTGATTCACGCTCAAGGAGAGTATTAAGGAGTTATATTGCTGGTAGCTCTGAAATTTTCGATCCTTTGTTGTTAAAATTATCAGATTTTGGTTGAGGCCTGTGTCGTGTCGTGCCGTGCCGGACATGGCGGGCGCCTCGGTGCCTGGCTACCATGCATTCTGGACAGAGAAAAGAGCCTCACTACAGGCAGAGTACAAGGAAAACGTAAAGCAATATCCTGCAGCAGATGAACACTACAGGAGACTGTTTAAAATCATCTGTGATATTGAGGATGTGGCCAGCTTCACACCAGCCACAATTGGAGAAAGTGCTGAGTGGGCGGCAATAATAAATGCCGCTGAAGAAAGCAGAGAGGGCTATTGCAAGGCTCTCAAGGGCAAGATTTTGTTCAGTGCTCTGTACGGAACCTACACAGTTACACTGAACGATCTGAAGTCCCTAGTGAAAGCCAGAACATCGGAGGCAACAAAAACCCAGACGAAGCCCTCCCAAGAGGAAGACTTCAAAGAGGTCCGAAGGCGGAAACGGCAGAGCACAACCGAGTCCGCCCCGACTTCAAAGAAGGCAGCGGCTGCCACAGGCAACACCAAAACCAAAGAGGTGCCTACCCGCAACTACTTTGCTCCTCTCAGGGTGACGACAATGGACACCGACTCTGCTGGTGACGGAGCCACTGCGCTGGAGGAGGGATCCACTACTCTGGAGGTGGATACATCAGGGAGAGCAGGCAGGCCACCCCCAATAATTATAACGACCACTGTAAACCTAATTCAATTGCAGAAGCAACTTAAAAATGTGGTCAGTGGTGACTTTGAGTTCCGTAATACCAAAAGCGGGACCAGAGTCATCACCAAAAGCATGGCGGATTTCGAAGCCGTCAAGTCCTATCTCTCAAACAACAAACTTTCCTATTTCACCTTCTTTCCGAAGTCCCTAAAACCCATTAAGGCTGTAATCCGTCACCTCCCCCACAACACCCCGGCGGAAGATATTTCTGAGGGATTGGTGACCCTGGGATTTGACGTGGTTAGCGTCAAGCAGATGACAACCACCCGAGGGTCGCCTTCAGAAGGAAGGATATCCAGAAACCTTCCCCTCTTCCTTATAACCTTACCCAGGACGGCAAAATCCCAAGATATTTTCAAGCTAAATAACCTTTGCCATATTTCCATCCGGGTCGAGGCTTATAGAGCACAGAGTGGCCTTACGCAGTGTCACAACTGCCAACAATTTGGCCACGTCTGGGCTAATTGTAAACAACCTCCCCGTTGCATGTGGTGCGGGGGTGGCCACCTGCACAGAGAGTGCCCCGAGAAAGAGAACGCTACCTCCACTCCAGCGTGTTGTAACTGTGAGCTGAAGGATGGGGAGAAACCGCATCCCGCTAACTACCGCGGCTGCAGTCACGCGAAGGAGGAGCTGCAGAAGAGGAAATTGCAGAGAGCACCCAAAACCACAACAGGAAGGGTGTTCTCATCAAATATAGTCACTCCTGGAGTCTCCTTCGCGGCGGCTCTCCGAGGCAACACGTTGCAGGAGCAGCGGTCTCAGACTCTACATACACCAGTGGCAGTCCCACCAGCAGTCAAGAAACCGACCGTCCCGGTTCCTGTACTGGAACAACACACAGGTCAGTCAGTTCAGGCTTCTAATGTAAACAGTCAATCTCTCGACAATATGTTGAGAGTGGTGACTGTAGTACAGCAGATTATGACAGAGGTCAGTGGTGCAGTGTCCGAAGAGGAAAAAATAATGGCCATTACCAAAATTGTTCTGAGTCTTATGAAACAGAATGGCCACTAGAGTTCATAGGCCCCTCAAAGTCATAGCATTTAATGCGAACGGCATTGGGAGGCAGCGCTATGAGCTCAGTAAACAGCTGCAAGACCTACACGTAGATGTGGCCCTGTTTTCAGAGACACATCTGAAACCTCATGAGAGGTTCTTTATTCCAAATTACCACTTTTATAGAATCGACCGCCAGTCGGGAAGAAAGGGCGGAACTGCCGTTGCAGTAAGAAAAGGCATTCCCCACATCCATGTAGACCTACCACCCCTTGTTTCAGTAGAAGCGACAGGGGTCTGCATACCAATTGGTAATAGCGAAGTGCTGCTTGCAGCTGTTTACAAATCTCCAAGCAAAGCCTGGAGTGATGCTGACATCACTGAGCTCTTAAGCTTCAGACGTAAGTCTCTTTTGGCAGGTGATTTGAATGCTAAGAACCCATTTTGGAATAGCAGAGTTTCAAACCCCTCAGGCTTGGAACTCGTTGATTTATTTGATAGGAGTGATTTTGAAATTTCAGCACCACAGAGCCCCACTCATTATTCCCCTGCGGGAAATGGTGACGTGTTAGACATTGTGGTTCACCGAAATATCAGAGTGTCAGATGTCATCGTCTCTGATATTTTGGACTCAGATCACCTACCAATAGTATTCCACATACTGGATCATGTTAAAATTAGGAATCTTTCGGAACCCATTGAAAAATTTACAGATTGGGAGCGGTTTCAAAGCCTCGCTTCTGAATTAATATCACCTAAACTAGAAATTAATTCGGGGGTAGAAGCCGATAAAGCGGCACGCGACTTTGCAGCCTCTATTGCTTCGGCATATAGGCTGTCGACAAGTAAAGTTACCCTTTCGGACATAAACAACGATCTTCCTGGTCTAGATCGTTTGATAAAATATAAACAGAGGCTACGAAAATTGTGGCAAGAAACCAGGGATCCAGCGTGTAAAACGGCAGTCAATTGGGTCACCAAATCAATCAGGCAAATGACCCGTAAAAAGGCACTTGAACGGTGGGAAACAAAAATAAGTAACACCGAAGTCACACCTCAGTGTATATGGCCCATTGCGAAATCTCTCCTTCAGAGAGACGGACCAAGGGCACCAACTGCTATTCATGGTTCTTCTGGCCTAAAATTTTATCCTTCTGAAAAAGCCAATGAAATTGCCGACTGTTTGGAAACTCAGTTCACGCCACATGACCTGTGCGATAAAAACCATGAAGAGCGGGTGGAGGCTAGAGTTCAAGCTCTGCTGGAAGCCGTAGATGAAACCCCCCCTCTAAGGATCAGACCATGTGACGTTCATAAATTAATAAAATCTCTGAAATTAAAAAAGGCCTGTGGAATTGACGGCATTCCAAACGAATGCCTCAGGCACCTTCCAAGGAGACCATTGGTTCACCTAACTCACTTATTCAATCACTGTTTTCGGCTCTCTCACTTTCCAAATACTTGGAAGGAAGCAAAAATAATAACTTTACCTAAACCGGGTAAAGACCCGAAATTTCCTCAAAATTTACGTCCGATCAGCCTCCTGTCCACGACAGGAAAACTATTCGAAAAAGTAATTTTGAAATTCCTCCGTAAACATATTGAAGAAAGAGACCTGCTCAACGCAAGTCAGTTTGGTTTTCGTGCACGTCACAGCACGACATTGCAATGTATGAGGCTGGCGGACCACGTGACCCTTAATTTCAACAATAAAATGTCTACGGCTGCAGTGTTCTTGGACATCGAAAAAGCCTTTGATACCACGTGGCACTCAGGCTTGCTGTTTAAATTATCAAAATTGGAATTCCCCAACTCTTTGACCAAGCTTATTGGGTCCTTTCTCTCTAAACGTAAATTCAGGGTCTCTGTTGAAGGCGAAATGTCAACGCCAAGGGAAATGCAAGCAGGGGTGCCACAAGGTTCTGTTCTTTCCCCTACTCTCTTCAATTTGTATATAAATGATGCCCCCCATACACAAGGCGTTCACCTGGCCCTCTTTGCAGACGACACCTGTCTGTATGCGACAGATCGCAAAGAGGGTTTTATTGTTAGAAAACTCCAGCGCGGTCTCAGCTCAATGGAGACCTGGTGTGAGCGCTGGAATATAAAAATTAATGAAGATAAGACTCGGGGGGTCTACTTCTCTCGTGGTCGTCGACCGCCTGAGTCTTGTCTTACTCTAAATGGAAGAAACATTCCATTTGTAAATAGTGCAAAATATCTAGGTGTAATCTTCGATAAGAAAGTGACTTGGAGATTACACATAGAAATGATCGAAGCCAAGGCCTTCAGAACATTCATTAGAGTGTATTCCCTATTCAAAAGTGAGCGATTGAGCGCTAACATTAAACTGACCCTCCACAAAGCTCTTATTAGATCCGTAATGACTTATGCTAGTCCCGCCTGGGAGTTTGCGGCAGACACTCATCTAGTGAAATTGCAGCGCCTGCAAAACAAGGTTCTCCGCACGATTGGCAATTTTCCAAGGCGCACACCGGTCCGCGATTTGCACATGGCATTCAAAATCCCGTACGTATATGATTACATAACAAAATTATGCAGGCAACAAGCAGAAGTCATACAAAATCATGATAATGAGAATGTTCGCAACATCGGACAAGGCGAAGCCCGACACAGAAAGTATAAGAGGCTTAAACTTGGCGGCGGTCAGGCGTACGACCGTTCGAGTGACTAGACTGCCGTGGTAGCTAATACTACTAGTATATATATATATATATATAAAAAGGGCATAATCTGCTGTACCTAGCCTGGACTGACAGAGGCCGTGTATATAGTGTACATAGAAGTAAGGATTAAGTGTGTATTTGTAAATGTATGTAAATACAGACAATAGACTTAATACAGACTGACTGACAGATGACAGACCCGACCTCTCGTCAGAGAGGGCGCGGTTTTATTTCTTTTAGTTTGGGTTTGTTGTTTTTTTTGTGTTGTACTAGCTTGGGTGTTTACACATGGATTNGACAGGACGGTAACTTTCATTGAAAAGAAATATCTGGTCATGAGCCCCAGCTGGGGCTCGACACCAAGACAAACAGACTGACCTACCGTCAGTTGTAACATGACTCTTGCCTCTTGCCTTGCCGCTTCATCAGTCGATCATCAGTCTACGATCAAGCCACACCAAGCAACATCAGCCAGCAGGCTTCGTCGTCAGCGCTCGGTCTTCGGAGGCATCAGCAGGCTGCGCCAGGCATGACTGCCTCGGCCCTCCAGCTCTCCCACACCCAACTCACTGGGGCACCGCGCCTGGACTTCCCGGTGGTCGTGTCCCTGTCCGACCCACTGGGCATCTGGCGCAGCCACTGCCTCATCACTCCTATGACCGCGCTCAAAGACTAGCCTTTCACCAGCAGCCTACAACCACGCTGTGTTAGCCATGCAACTCCAACTCACCTGCCTCACGGCGACCAAGCAACCTCCAGCAACGGCCGCACTGCGGCCAGTCCACTCACCGCAACTAACCTCTCTCCCTACTGGCGCACGCCGCGCTACCTCACTGATCAAACATCTCAGCAACCACGGTCCTTTTCAGGACCAACAAACTATTCCGAAGAAGTGGGTTGTCATCGGAGTAATGACAAAACTACATAAAACCCCACAAATACTTTTAATGTACTTTCCTTGCTACATATCGGATAATCACTTTATAACTACTCTTCTTCCACATTTATCTGCAGCAAGTGGCAATATCAATGAAATAAACCTGTTCTGCCATCTCTTTATATTTTAGGTTACATTCAGCATCCCACAAATTATGTGTTAGTATGAAAAGACAAAACAAAGAATGTATGTCTGCTGACAAAGTCAGCTTGAACAAAGATATTTTGTTTTGTTCTGTTTTGTTTTAATGTTTTGAAAATGTGACTTACAGGGCTTGGAAACTCATGGTTCTTATGTGAGACTCCTTCAGTGACACATTTTGAAGGTGCAGATAATTTCCCCCTGTCAGTTGTCCTTGTAGTGGTTTAGGAGGACAGCAAAACGTAAGCTGTTACATGAAATCTCACATTTTAGTAGGAAGATATCAAATTTCTTCTCAAATTACCATTTTTTATCTGGCACTAGAATTGAAAAACTTTGAAAGAATGCATTTGATATGGCATGACAAACAAAACAAACTGAAGTTTCATTGACAAAATTCTAACTAAATGACAAGACAATTGGAGTTGGCAATGGAAGGTTTTAGGACAAACAACTATTGTGGAAATGAACATGTATTGGAAATTCATTACTGAAACCCACCAAGATAAGTGAGGCAACTGGGACCATGTAGGATAGCAGCATCCCCCTCACAACAGACATCCAGCAATAGCGGTGGGTCTCATACCCATGTGGATTCAGCGCATAGCACATCTGCATACAGACAATGAAAATACAGGTACAGGTAGCTCTCATTATACCTGAGTTTGAAAATTGTAGTTTCACTTTAATGCACTCAACAAATTTAAAATAATAGCACTTTCTTAAGGTAAATTGCTTACTGGCCACTCAAGAGATGTGAGAAGAAAGCGGAGTAGAGAATTTGTGGATGGCAGAGGAGGAATTCAAGGAGAGAAACGAAAATTATGCTTGACTTATGCAGTTGCACCCTCTGCAACTTTCTTTTTTAGGCTCATGGCTGTCACATAACTAACTTCATGGAGCTTAGCCCTTCTTGAGGAGCTGCCAGCTGTGCAGCTACTCAAGAAATTCCAAATATTTTATGGAACCTGAAGTGTCATTTCCGTGTTCACAAGAGCACTCCACTGGTTCCTATCCTCAGCCAGATCAAACCAGTCAGTACCACCATATCCTCTTTCTTTAAGATCCATTTTAACATTATCCACCTTCCTACATTTTGGTCTTTGCAGTGGTCTCTTTCTTTCTGGCTTTCCCACCAATATCCTTAATGCATACCTCAGCTCCCAAAATTCGTGCTACATTCCCTGCCCATCTCTCCCCCCTTGACATGATCTTTCTAATTATACTTAGTAAGTTATGAATCTTCTCATTATGCAGTTTTCTCCAAACTTCTGTCACGCCATCTCTCTTTGGTCCAAATATACTCCTCAGCACCCTGTTCTCAAACGCCTTCAGTCTATGTTCCTCCCTTAATGTCAGAGACCAATTTTTACACCCATACAGTGTGCATTATTATTGTCCAGTTTTAACCAAAATTGGAATGTCTTCTCAATAAATTTCAGTAAAACTTCCCAGGATCATATTTCATGAATATCTGTTTAGTAATTATCAAGTTGTTACATATAGACTGATGGCTGGGCAGGCATCCCATATATAATGTGTCCATTTTTGCAGTTTCTTGTTTGTGTTTGCGAAAAATAGCAGGAAAAAAGCAGATCCAAATATCAGAGGATCCTTACACCAGTACATAAAAGGCTGAAAACGTCAGCAGGTGATCATGATCATAATGAATTCTGTTGGATGAAGATTCTGTTATATGCATCTGAAGGTGGAAAATATCATTAAGCATTCGAACAACACATAGTACATGAATTATATACTCAAAATTATGCAGAATGTGATACAATTATCTTCTTTGATATGTTGATTTGAGTCTCTTGATAATGTATATCATAGTGCTTATACATTTTTTAACATCTGTTTCTGGATTTCAGTAGTAGAGGAAGGTAAATTTCTAATTGAGAAGTTTTGCTAGCCTAAATTCAGTTGCTTACCGTTACAATACTTGCTGGTAGGAGCCATGCTAGGGTGCAATGAAGACGCAATCCTGAATGGCGAGGGCCCTCAGTGAGACGTCGGTATGCCAGTACCCCTATTGAGAACAGCCAGCAACATGCAACTAAGTGCAGATAATGCAGCAGGAGTGCCACGCCTTCACACCAGTGCTGCTTCCCAGTAGCCTGTATGTAAAGGTGAGATTATGTTAATATGATGTTCATGATCTGTGCTAGACTCAATCCAACATTTACAAAACAAAATTCTAGTCCACTGTTGGAATGAATTCAGCAGTTTTTAAATTCTAAAATATTAATAAATTTAAACCAGGTATGGAAACACAGATATTTGTTGCATGTAAATCTGGCATTGGGTATGAAAATCAAATTACTTATATGCAAAAATATTTTTGGAGATCTTGAAGTGACACCACTCAGTGAAATGTAAGTGCACACAGGACTGACATGCATTTGTAGGGACAACACACTTGTACAGACCTGCACACCGAGCATGAAGATCAAGTTACTGGTAAACAATGACAGTTCTGTGTTGATGAATATAAATGTTGCAGGATCATGTGGGTTGGAGCGTAGCCTACGTAGAGCTGTTGTCAGGGATAAAAATTGAGCCACCAGAGAGATAGCGGCTCCCACAATCAGTATCTGAAACATTGTAACAACATAATTATTCTTCTCCATTTTGTTTAGCAATTGCCTTCGCTGTAGCGTAGTTGGTTGAGGCACTATGCTACAAGCCAGAAGGTCGCGAGTTCAAGTCCCAATGAGGTCATTGGATTTTTTCAGTTGACCTAATCCTTCCAGCCGCCCTATGGCCCTGGGGTCGACTCAGCCTCTAACAGAAATGAAAAAATTATTTAATTAATATCACCTGTTTGCCAGTTCCTCCTTCAGTGTGTGAAGATGATCCGAAGTAGATATACATGACACTGTCAATGAGGTCATGATCATGCAAGTCAGTGTCTGCCAAGCTGTCATCAGGTAACACAACCTCTTCAGGTTCAATCTGCTGCCTTGTCACTGATAGCCCTGGATCAGGAATCACTCCAGGCTCATATCCTGACATGAAAAGATGTGCCAGTTTTTTTTACTAAACAGAACGATTTAAAAATAAAGTATTTAATACAAATGACTGGCAATAAATCATGCTGTGATTCTTACATATAGCTGAATTTTTACATGGCTGTAGTTAAAGGGAATTTATGAATTCAGGATAACTATATGGCTTGTACAGCATTGACTAGGAGACACTGTGAAGATTGAATTGTAAAATGTGTGGGTAGAAGTAGACACATCCTATTTTAAGGCTTCATCTCGTCATTTACCTGAAGATACTAAGAAAAACCATAAGAACCCTTACTCAGGATAGCTGACTTTGACACTGAGACTTGATCCTATGTCCCACTGGATATAAAGTGGGAATATTAACTTTGAAATAGTTATGTCAGATGAATGGTTTGAAATTGGTATAATACTAGTAAACTTTAATGAGCAAATTATTTCTTGAGAATCTAATAGTTGCTCAACTAGTCAATAAATTCCCCACCTTATATGGAATCTGGAGATTCATTTCTGTTTCTGAAGCCTGCCACTGAACTCTGTCCTGACCAAATAGATCCAGTCCACACCCTTACACACTATTTCTTTAACATGAGACATTTCTGCCTAGGTCTCTCAAGATGTCTTGTTCTATCTGAGCTAGTTCAATCTGGTTCATATCTTTGCACACCATTTCTCTAAAATCAGTTTTAATATTATCTTTCCATTTATGTCTAGGTCTCATTGTTAGTCTTTCCTATTGAGGTTTCCCAGTCAAAGTGCTCCCAAGGAGGATGTGTGGTCTGTCCATTTTTTTTTTGTCTTTCAACTCTCAATTATATGTTACGTAGTAGTACTGAAAGCAAAGAAGCATGATTATTTATTACTTATCATCGGAGTATGCTAAAAAATACACATTGTATTTGCAACTGCTCTGAAGTTCAGTTTCTTACCTGTGTTGTTAGTTGTATCTGGGTAATCATATGCTGCATAGTATTCGTCCATCTCCATGTCTCCTGCGTACTCACTCCTCACATGACCCATTGTATTGTTGCCTGTCATACACTGCAGGGTTTACTACAAAACAATATGTCATAAAGTCAGGATTGCATTCTTAAAACTGATAATTTTGATATCTTGCAAAAAATTAATTAGTTTCTTATTCAATTATGAGACCAGATAGTGCAGTCGGTGTAGTGACTGAGTACAGCCTTGATGGCTGACGGGTCAGAGGTCAGGTTCCTATAGAGGCAAGAATTTTCTATTCCCCAAGTTGTCCATACCAGTTCTGGGGCTGGCTCAGCCTCCTATTTAGTGAGTAATAGGAGCATTTTCCCTTGGGTAAAGTGGTCAGTGCATGAAGCTGATCGCTCACCTCCAGCTAGTGCCTAGGTCAAGAATACATTGATCGATGGATCCATGAAACAGGATGTTATGTGAAACTGGTGATGATGAAAAAGAAGTGCATGTACCATTTTCTGTGATATGATTTTGTCTGATTATGAAGGTACAACATGTGACAGCAAGAGCATAACTGCACACTGAGAGACACTAAGGTGTACTAATTCACTTTATGTTCACATTATAGCTTCATCGGTAGATGGATGGAAGCAATAAGGAGATACGTTATAGCACTCCAACCATCTATAATTAAATAATGAAGTGCATTAACATTAAGGGAAGAACATGGATTGAGGATGTTTGAGAAAAAATTGTTGAATTGAGTATTTAGATGTAAGGTGGAAGGAGTGAGAGTAGGATGAAGAAAACTTTATAGTGAGGAAATTCATAATTTGTCCTCTTCATAAATTATTATTGGGATGAAAAAATCAAGAGACTAAGATGAACCGGGTGGGGGGCAGATGTAGCCGCCACCGGAAGTATAAGAATAATTTTAGTTTGTGTTATTAACGGGGCACCCGGTAGCGTAGCGGTTGAGACACTATGCTACAAACCAGAATGTCGCGGGTTCAAGTCCCGATGAGGTCATTGGATTTTTTCAGTTAACCTAATCCTTCCAGCCACACTATGACCCTGGGGTCGACTCAGCCTCTAACAGAAATGAGTACCAGGAATTACTTAAATAATTTTCCTGGGGAGTAATGTGCGGCCGGCGCGTAAGGCTGATAAGATAATGTCTGGATAATGTGGGAGCCTCGACGTCTCACAACCCTATGGGCCTTCACGGCCTGTTACAGGGATAGCTTCACATTTTTTGTGTTATTAATTTTTGCTATATTTACTATATTTCCAAAAATCCGTGGAAAGGGGACTGTCCCACAGGCTCCTATGATGCTATGCAATGTCATTCATGACCTTGGACGAAACAAATACAACGGTCACATGAACTTCTGACACGAGAAAAACAGCTGTATCATTTAATACACAGCTTTGAAATTCTGATAGACTCTAAAAAATATATAAAACAGATTGTTAAGTTATTGTTAATGGACTGTAAAATAATAATATGACAGCAGTTCAAAAGTTGTATTTAGTTTACACTTTCAGAACGCCGACTAATAAAATATGGCAACATTTTGGGTAGGTCTCAATCATACCTCTAAAATTGTATGTTTTATTTTAAAATTATGAATATGGTGAACTTTTGGGTTATGCCACAGAAATCTTGAACAGAATTTCTCAGACCAACGCCTTAATTTCCTCCAGAACTTCTTGTTCTATAATAAATAGCGTTGCATTCCTAATGTAATAGAATTCTGTGGGCTTGGCTTTAAATAATAGTTCATAGAAACGGACTTTATACATTTCTTCCCCCTGAAAAACTTCGCGAACCAAGGTCTGGGAAACCCTGGTCTAAAAATATTCGAAATTTGATCGAAAATCTAGAAATTGCTTAAGCACCTAGTACAGTAGTTTAGGTATTTTTTTTTAAACCTTTCATTTATTTTCGAAAAATTTTAAAATGTTTTCCATGATGTCTATCAAAATAAATGGAATTGCAAATACTTCAGCCTGCGATCGCAATTTGATTCCATTCGATTGCCAATTTATAAAGCATTCTTCCAGAAAATGTAAGAAGTGAGATAATATCTTGTGAACTTTTACTCCAGCGCTGATTTCAAAGTCCACAGGAGATCGGACGCATCCATTCCTCGCGCTTCTGTGATCACACAGTTTTACACCCGAGTCGTCATAGCCTGTTATCAACTTCCACTGAAGTGTATCAACAAGCTGTGTTGAAAACACCGGCACGATGCTCAGTTTGCACAGTGCTACAAAATAATTTCATCTTCTCGACCCAAGTTTATTTCCTCGTCATTACTGCCTCTCGTTTTGAGGGTGTTCTAAATTATAGTAGTTAAGTGGTAGAACTATTCTTGTTGGAAATGCGCCAGGCGTGGACTACATATCTTCATCGACGTAAAGGTTTAAATATTCAAAATTATATCTCCATTTGTATGGTAAAAGGTAAAGGTAAAAGTACCCCTGTAACAGTCCGTGGAGGCCCATAGGGTTGTGAGACGTTGAGGCTCCCACATTTTCTAGACAATTGGCTCACAGATCGCGGGGAGGTCAGCCTTAAGCGCCGACCGCCTTTTACCCCCAAGAATATTCCTGGTATTCATTTCTGTTAGTGGCTGAGTCGACCCCAGGGCCATAGTGCGACTGGAAGGATTAGGTAAATTGAAAAAAAAATCCACCTCATCGGGATTCGATCCCGCGACCTTCCATCTTGTAGCATAGTGCCTGATCTAACTACTCTACCACGTGCCCCCACATCTGCATTTGTACATTGGGATAATTAAGTGTGTGCGTAATCAAATGAATTGATATAAATTAATAAAATGTAATCCAAAGGCGTTCTTATACTTAACAATCTTCTCATATATCACCAATAAAATTAACCGCCCACAGAAAACATATGGTTCTGTGTTTGTTACGATCATATTATGTTACAGCGGGCCTGTTAGAAAGTGTTGTCAGGCCGGCTTTTGACCATCCTTGATTTAAGCGAAGAAAAAAGCAACGTCTTCCTGTTAAGTCGCATGTTCATCAGAACTGACTTGGATTCTGTGGACACAACTAAAATGGCGACAGTGACATTTAGCAATACATGTTAATTTATTTCATAATAGAACTGAAAGTATACATTAATTTTCCAAAATTTAAATTTTTATTTCCATCGTTTTATTGAAATTTTAGTTTATTTACGCATAAATATCTCTTTTGGATTTGAGGTTCTTCTTGCACCTGCTTTCACGTCGGTTTCTTCCTCGACTTATTTTTCGAAGCTGCAGATAGAGGCGACATGTTCCTCCAAAAAGTCTATTGACTTTCAGCGGACTACACGGCATTATATCCTCGAAGGTAGAACTCTTCGCAGAAGTTTCTGTTTTCAATGTTCAGTTAAGACATGTGATCTTCCTGAAATGGCACTCACAATAATATCAGAATTCACGTCGTCAAACTCCAGTTACGCCTGCAGCGAATGATCTCGGCATCCCGGTGAAACAGCAGTGTCGGAGAAGTTGCCGCATGTTCGCGGCGGCACGCATGACTGATTACTTAGGCCGAATAACACTACCTTACGATCTTTATGATGTCCTGGCTGCTGCTTTGCGATGAAGAGCCTAGTTCTTCTAGCCACGGTTGTGGCTTCATTTTGAGTCTTTCTGGTGGCGGCCGTTGTCGTTTATATTTGTGTGCATAAACTAAACTTTCATGAAGAATACCGCCGTCTGGGATGTAACAGCTTGTAATAGGATGAAAGTCCACTGACATTTCGATGGGATGGACTACCTCTGTCTTCATGGTCAAAGAGTAAGCCAAAGAAAACACCAGAAGGAAGTAAGCTCAACTTTTAAGATGGTTGTAACCTCTCGTCTCGCCTTTCTGACGGTGGACAGATACGCGGCGACAGTCCCCTTTTGTCTTTGAGACGTGACTGCTTTTAGTTAATGAAGGGAGACAGAAAGTTAAGGTGAATGTGTGGTTTTGGCGCCAGAGGATTATAGGTCTATAATGAAGCACAGACCACTACTACCTCCCACTTCTTGATATTGTGCCAAGATCAACATCTCGCCGGTCATAGTGGACGCGAGGTCTAAGACATAAAATGTTTTGCCCCCTCAAGCACTGGAATCGTGGGTTCGAATCCCACTCGAAACATCGATGTCTGTCGGCGTTTCTTCTGTGTCTTGTCTTTTGTAAGCAGTGGCCTTGCGACAGGGCTGATTACCCGTCCAAGGAGTCCTACTGTCTATAAGATCCATATTTTCAGATTAATTCTGATGAAAAATGGGCCAGAGGGCCTAACAAAATGTATAAGAAGAAGAAAAAGAAGGAGGAGGAGGGGGAAGAGGAGGAAGAGATGGAATAGACTAAGAACTCGGTGAAGCAATTAACTCGGCCAGGGCGTATTCATGTTGGTGGTGATTTGGGATGAGAAGCTGCAACAACTTCGAGAAGTAGCGCAAGGCTCAAAGAGAACAATTGCAGAATTTACATGTATTTGTTTGTCAAAACCAGAATTACATTCCGACTGGCTGTTTACGGCAAATCAGGTAGCCTTGGCGCCAAGACCCATGAGGTTAACGACCAGAGATATATTTTCATCTGAACCCTTACGGTCGGGGACACGCGGTAGCGTAGTTGGTTGAGGCACTATGGTACAAGCCGGAAGGTCGCGGGATCGAATCCCGATGAGGTGGATTTTTTCATTTGACCTAATCCTTCCAGCTGCAATATGGCCCTCGGGGTGACTCAGCCTGTAACAGAAATGATTGCGAGGAATATTCCTGGAGGCAAAGGGCTGCCGGCGCGTAAGCCTGACAACCTCACCCCCATCTATGTGCCGATTGTGTAGAAAATGTTGGAGCCTCAACATCTCACAACCAATGGGCCTCCATGACCTGTTACAGGGAAAAATTTACTTTCTTCTTACTTTTACACTTGCGATCAGAGCCATTATGTAACATCCCTTCTGGCGAGAGAATGAGTTTGTATCTGATGATTATGCTTGGCTTTGTCAATTATACGTATCGCACAAATAACATGTTATTGAAAATTTTACAATTTTACAATTTTAATGTTGTCCATCCACCTACACCTTGGTC